AGTAATGAAAAAATAATACACGATATGTATTAAAGGATAAAATAAGACAAATACAAGAGAAGATAAAATTAAAAAAAACTAAACAAGTGAATCTGCGATATGTAACGGTGGAACATGATTACGAATTAGTAAGCGTCGAAAATATTCAACAGCGCATGCCTAAAAAAAATTTTTTTATAAAATAATTTTCCATTAAAAATACGTTTAATTTGAATGAATTAAATTTTGAAAAGTTTAGTTTTAAATGAGTACAAAGTTTCTAAAAGTTCACATCTCAATGATTAATTTTTAAAATTATGTAAAAGAAATTTAGTTAATATATAAGAGATATTGGAAGGAATTTAAATATATAAGAGATATATAAGAGATATTGGAAGGAATATATAAGAGATATTGGATATATAAGAGATATTGGAAGGAATTTAAATATATAAGAGATATATAAGAGATATTGGAAGGAATTTAAAAAATAAAGTTTGACAATTGGGAAAAAAAAGGCATTTGTTTATTAAAAAAATAATTAAATTATTAATTAATTTTTCATCTTGTAAACAATATATTGCAATTAATATCACATTGATAGTACTGATTATGTTTATACAGATAGTGCGCAATGAAAGGTCAACTTAAGAAAATAGGAAATAGATTGGGTCATAAGATAGGAAAATGGTATAAAAAGGAGAGAGTAGATAAGTAAAGGATTTTCAATTCATCCGTTCGTTTTTGTTTTTTTTTTTTTTTTTTAACATTGACCCCGGTGCCATTAGTGAACAAATATAAGTTTACTTATAGTTATGACCTCAATTAAAGATATGCTGGAGAAAAGAAAACGGATTGAGATGACATTTTTGATGTATCAACTGATAGGATTATAGGAAGTATGATTTGGGATAAACAATTTACGATTACAATAAGAGTTCCACTTATTGTATATTATTGCTTATTGAATCGAACCTTTTAATCTTATACTTAAGTAATTATTTTAAGTTCTAAATAAATCAAAATTTATTATACTTTTATTTCAGTTATATTTATCATAGTATGAAAATATTTTTGCATGAATTTTATGCTTAAATTTATTGTTTAATATTTTTTTTTAGCTTTTTAATTGCTGCTGTATTTTATGATTAAATGTGACTCTAATTAAGTATGATTAATTTATTCAATTAATTGCAAAAAAAAAAAAGATACCTGAGCAGTTAATGAGTTATACGGTAAAAGAAGTTGTAAATAAAGTTTAATTTCAGCATCACAAATATTGTACAAGTTAGCATCATCTTCATCGATTGTTTTAATTTCCATAATCTTTGACATCCTTATTTGTATATATTAGAGGTTGGTTAAATAACTTTTTATGATTAGATGAGAGAAAATGCGGTAATTTACCGCAAATCTGTTATAGTAAGAACAATCAATGAGGAACAATACAAGCTATCCTTTAATTATTTAATTATTTATATCATTTGTTTCATTCGTATAAAATTTGCATATGACATAAAAGCAATGTTTGCATAGTTGTTTGTTTATTATTTGATAATTTACCTTGCATAATTGTTTGCTTATATCGAATTGATAAAGTGATATTTTTTTTAGCATAAAAATTGAAAATTGCATGAATGCATATGGGAAGCAATTTTAATTCAATTTATTGTTAAAATATTATAATGGAAAAGTGGGGTTGAAAAAAAAACGATGAATAAATTTCATACCAAACATTCCAATGTTTTCTCCTCCTAATCATTTTGCTAATAATTTAAATAATCAGCTGGAATACAAAATTTACTCTTTAGAAACAAATTATGCAAATTAATTTAAATTATTTATAGTTTAAAGATGATTATTTGGTGACATTTTCAAGAATTTCTCATTTCATCCATGACTTGTTCATTTTAGTGCAATAATTTGATAAGCATTGGTAACTTTTCTTTTCCTTTCATTCTGTTTGCAAATTTTACATTTTAAATTTAATATTTCTTACGTTTCCTATCGATTGAATCGGATGTTACCGTATCGAAGAGACTACTGTATCAAGGAGAATACTGTATCAAGAAAAATACCGTACTGGGCATACAAATTGAACTTCTTCATAAGAATTATTTCATTTATTAAAATCTATTATCACTGCATTTTTTTTTCTTGAATCGGTGTATTTATGACAACTGTATTCTAATATATTTTACACAAAAATGGAAAACAGTTCATATTCAATCAAACAGATACTAAATAATATATGTATGTATTTTTTGTATTAGACGAAGAAGTTTATGGTAGAAATAAATTACAGTAAGATTTCATTGAAATTTGATGAATTAATTTTCAGGAGTTACTATTGCGATGCATTGGAAATTAATTATTGTACTTGTTTCTGCATTTGGTATAATCAAGGAGTTTCGTCCAGCAACACCATTCCTTACACCGTATCTCATCAGTCCACCAAAAAATTTCACTAATGTTCAACTTTACAGTGAAATTTATCCATTTTGGACATATTCGTATTTGGTTGCTTTGGTAAATAATCATTTGCTTCATTCAAAAAACTACACTGTATTATCAACGAAATTGATATCAATGAGGTGGATACTATATTATTGATTTAAACAACGAAATAACTTTTTTTTTTTTTTTAAAGATTCCATCGTTTTTCCTAACCGATATATTACGATATAAGCCAATTGTTATAATGGAAGCAGTGATGCTATGTATCACATGGATTTTACTTATATGGGGTAAAACGATATGGCAAATGCAAATTATGCAAATTGCTTTCGGTAAATATTATAACTTATTACTTAAAATAAAGTTCCTTTTATTTTAATAAAAATAAAACAAAAAGAAATGTTGGAAGAAATTTATTCAAATTTGTCACAAATATTTGCGAATTTATAGCAATTATGAATATTTTGTCGTATTTATTATTACTTTGAAATTAATATTAATGAAAAGGATACTATATGTTGATGAAATAAGCATTGTAAATAAAACGAAAACGAATTATTTAGAAAGACTTTTTTAAATTTACCTACAGTTTCATGAATATTAAATTTTAATCTGTCTATTATCGTTATGGGTAAATATTGAAATTGTCCAGTTATCATGTGTGAATATGCATTTTTCATTGATAGCGCACTTGTTCCATCGCATTAGCTCTATCGATTCGACTCACAAAATACTATTATTATTATTATTTATTATTATTATTATTATTATTATTATTATTATTATTATTATTATTATTATTATTATTACTTATTATTATTATTATTATTATTATTATTATTATTATTATTATTATCATTATTATTATTATTATTATTATTATTATTATTAT